TGCGGGGGGAGGGGGGGGGGGGAAGAGTGGAGGAGGCTTCGTGTGCTCCCCCACTCCCAAGCTCTGATTGGCCTGGGGGTGGCGGAGCGTGCCAAGCCTCTGCCAGGGCATGGGTGCCTAGTGGGAAGGGGGGGCAAAGGGGCTCCCTCACCCTCAGACCAGTCATGGTCTGGTGGTGGGGTAGCCCCGCCCCTTCTCATTTAGGCCCCGCCCCTTCCGGGGTGGCTTGGGGCTACTTCAAACATTTTTGAAGTGGCCTCCAGGCAAAAAGTATTTGCCCCTGGTCTAGGCATCACGCTCTCCCCATGATTCTGTATGTCAGCCCTGTTTTCAGTGTGAACGTGTCTTGGGCATGGATTGGAGATGTCATGAACGGTGAGCTCGGCATGAAGGAAGCCGCTGACGCAGGATTGCCTCACAGCGGTGGTGGCAGTAGCATATCCTATAGCACCTCCCAGCCAAAGATCTCAGAATGCTCCACTGGGGGGGGGGTGTAAATAGTATCCCCATTTTATACGTGGGTAAGCAGAGGCACAGGGAGCCGAACGCCTGTGTCTGAGGTGACATAGCGAGCGCGTGGCAGAGCTGGGAGTAGAATGCAGACTCCGCTCCCAGCCCTAGGCATGTAACCGTACAAGGAAGTTCCAGAAGAGACGAAGCCATGTGCTTTTGAGGTCACCAGGCTAGCAGTAGCCAGAGGCTTGGGTGAGACCTTTGGATGCTCTGCTGCAAACGGGCTTGTAAGATGCTGCTGCTCAAAAGCTGTAATGGTCAAGCTGCTTATAGTTTACCTCTTCTTCTCCCTCCCCCTCTTTTACAGCTGAAACTATGGAACAAATACAGAGTCTCCAACATTCCATCGCTGATATTTATAGATGCTTCCACAGGGAAGGTTGTGTGCAGAAACGGCCTGTTGGTGATCCGGGATGACCCAGAAGGTAAGATCCGGAGCGTGGCCCGTCCACACGGATAGATAACAGTCAGCTTCTCTTTTAGCTCCCTTTCCAACATGTGCCTTGAAGCAAAAACATGGAACAAAATGAAGATCATCGGCGTTACCTCATCAAAACTCTGGATTATTTTCAGCACGAAATTCCCTGCATTGTTCCCATGAGAGTTAGGGTTTTGTTTTTAACAAACAAAAGCATCCCTTCGAGGTTTTCTGTGTGAAGTGCTAATGAGGAAAAGTGAGATGAAATGAAACACTGTAGCTAGCATTTCACTGGTCAGGACACAGGCGGGCAAACTGAGGGCCCATATTTTTCATCTCTCTGCCGGTCTCATTTAGTGATGGTGTATATAATAGTAACACTACACCGTTTGAGAGAGAACAATTCCCTTGTCACGCCGCTTGCAGCAATATGGCTGCGTCAACACCGTCGTGCTGGTACGTCAGGCAATGAATGCTCTTTGTGAGCACTTTTGGTGACAAAAATACTGGCATGTCTGCTGATAAAGCCCATTTACACTGGCACTTGCTGCAGCAAAGCCTTTAGGTTTGGGTTTTTTTTTTAAACCCGTGAATAACAAAAGCTTTTGTCACTCAATGGCCAGTATAGACAAAGCCTTAGAGATGATGCTTAAAAAAAGCTGCAGTTTTTTTCTAAATTGTATTATGCTGCGTGTTTATACCAGGCTGCCTTCTCTGAATCGTCAAGTGACAAAAACAATCCGATATTGCTGCACGTATTTGTAGTCACTACACAGAGATGCTACGCGCCTGTGACCTTTCTGCCTGTGTGCTCACCCTTCCGTGGGGTTGTCATTTCCTCAGCACGGGAATGCCAGATACTGAAAACAAGCCCCGACGTGTAACGCAAGGGGCCAGAGCTATGTAGCGTAACACGCTGAGTCCACTCTGTGGTCTAAACCCTCTGCGAATGTTGCTTTAGCTCCGGCTGACTGTATAGGCTGCTTATTCCGGGAATTGGCAGAAGGAATATTCCAAATAAAATAAGATGCTTTTTTCCATGGGCAAGGAAACCTGTATGTCCAGTATCAAGCCTTAAAGCTGTGGGCAGCGCAGCCCGGTGCGTAGGAAACGAAAATGATCGCCGCTCTAAGGAAGCCGGCTGCTGTTCCTAAAAGACACAGACCGAGGCGGGAGTTGGGCGGCAGTAACCGAGGGTAACCAGCCGCTTCTCCGTTGGTTTCAAACGGTAGCTGTGAGGAGTGTGCTGGCCAGACCGAAGATGAATAGTCAGAGCGCGTGGCCGGCGGGAGCCCCAGCCACAAGCAGGGCAGAGCTAGGCCGCAGGCATTGAAGAGGGAAGACGGACGAGCGGACTGCAGCAACGAGCTGCCTGCCCAAAGCAGCACTTCCCTGCCTCGTCCCAGGGAGCATTCCGGCAGCGGGAAACCTGGGGAATGCGAACAAACACGGGAATCCTTAGGGCCAGATCCTGCCCCGCTGCGGGCACCGAGGGCCCTGAGCAGGGTAGAAACTGGTGCAGTTTGGCTGCGTGAATGTTTGGGGAAGGGGCGGAGAAGAGGATACAGAGGCTTAGGTAGGAGACGTGAGCCGTCTGCATGCTGCAAAGCCCGGCTCCCAGGGGGTGTCCAGCATGGAGGGGTTTGAGGGCAGCTGCCCGGGGCGCCAGCCTACGGGGGGCACCTGATGGCAGCTGTAAGGGGTGCACAGCGCCCCTTATAGCCCCCCTTAGAGCTGCCATCAGGTGCCGCGCTCCCAGATCGTGGGCTGCAGCAGCTCCCAGCAGCCACCCTGCAGCGGCCGCCCAGGGCGGGGGCCGCGTTAACCCCCGCAGTGCTGGCCAGCAGCGCCCTTCCCCCCGTGGCTGCGGGGCCCTGCACGGCCAGGCTCGGCCCGCCCTGGGCAGCCCCGGTCTGCGTGCCAGTGGCGGTGGCCGGGCTGGGCTGGGCCAGGCAGGGCACGTGCGTCCTGCCGCCACCAGCTCCGCACTCCCTGCCCCATGCGCTGGGCGGGGCCGCGCATGCGCCCTCCCCCAACCCAGGGTGCAATTAACCTGTCGGCCCGGGTGCCGGAATGGCTCGGGCCAGCCCTGGCTGAGCGCTCCTTTGCGGGAAGGAGGGGCTGCATAGACGGCTTCACCCCTCGGACTGCAGGAGCAGCGAATCTCTGGGGAGGTGCACCCCCCCTATAGAAAGCCTGATGGCTCAGGACTGGGGGCAGAGAACGTGGCTGCTCCCCTCCGCCTCCCTCCTTGGGTGGTTGACGTGTGGTGCTGCTCCCTGCCCTGGGCTGCGACCCAGGATCCGGGTGGGAGGGGGCAGAGGAGGTCGGCACGAGAAGCCGTCGGTGCGGCTGTGGCACGATTGCCCCGCTCCGGGCCTTTGGAGGAAGGGTGGGGGGCCCTCAGCAGAGCTCTGGGAACTGGAAATGCAAGTGGCGCCTCTCTCTCTCCTCCACGGTCCCACGCTCCCCTAGGGCTGGAATTCCCCTGGGGACCAAAGCCCTTCAGTGAAGTTGTCGCAGGGCCTCTGCTCAGAAGCAACGGCCAGTCGCTGGACAGCGCCGCCCTGGAGGGCTCTCACGTGGGGGTCTACTTCTCTGCGCACTGGGTGAGTGGCTGGCGGCTCTGCGGCGCACGCCGCGTGGGCAGGGCGGGGGGCAGCTCCTCGCGCTGGAGAACTCCGCCCAGCGCTGCCTGGGCTGACACCTCGGGCTCGATTCCCTTTCCAGGAGCAGCTGTGCCCGAGGCGAAAGGCACCGGCCGGGGGAGCCGGCGAGAGCTTCCACCTGCCCCTTCCGAGGCGGGGGCTGCTGGGGGGACTTGCTGAGCCAGCGCCCCCTAGTCACTCCATGTGGTGGGCTAGGAGCTGCCTGGAGGGCCCCCTGGAAAGCAGGAATTGTGGGTGCCGTGCAGGGCTCCCTGATCTCCTTGTGGGGGGAGCTGTGGCATGAATCAGACCCATTGACTCCCAAGAGAGCTGCGTCTCTGCTGTCCAGTTACCACTTTCTCCTCTGTGTGTTTCCAGTGCCCCCCCTGCCGAAGCCTCACCAGGGTCCTGGTGGAGTCCTACCGGAAAATCAAGGAGGCGGGGCAGAAATTTGAGATTGTCTTTGTTAGCGCAGACAGGTAACCGACCCTGCTGTTTGCTTGGAGGGCTCTGGGCTGTGCCGCAGTGCAGGCACCAGAGGGGATGCTTGGGGGGTGTCTGCACCCCGGACGGAGACACCCTTGCCCCAAGCCAGGAGGGAGCTGGGAGTTACTAGAGGCAGATGGGGATCAGTCAGGCTTTGTGCTACATTCAGCTGTTTGAGTTGTGCCCGGGGGATGAAAGACACGCCCAGGTGGAATGGATGCAGCCCCCGCTTTAAAGAGATCCTGGTCAGGCCTCTCCCGCGGACACGCCCGAGACAGGGTTCCAGGTGTGGGGAGGGGAGGCAGCACAGGGCTGTTCCCTGCAAGCCAGCCTGGGAGCGGGAGGTGGCTCTGAGTCTGCTAAATCGGCAGGGTGAAGGGGAGAGATTGAAGGACAAGCGAGGCTAGGGGGTGGGGCGCAGGCAAGCACAGAACCCGTACGGAGGGCTTGGCACTGGGCTTCGAGTTCCCTCCGTGCTCTGGAGACCAGCCTCAGTTCTGCGGGGCCCTGGGGTAGCAGCTGAGGAGATTTGCAATCTCTTACTGAAACATGCTACACGCTTTGGGGAGGGGCTGGCTTTAAAATCCAGGGTCTCCCCCTGGCTGGGGGCCACTTGGCCTGCCCTGCATACAGGTCCTGGGGACGTGGCGGGTACCTGCTGGGCTGCGTACAGCTTTCCTGGGCAAAGGGCTGAAAGAACGGCAGGGGAGGAGCATGTGTTTGACCCCCATGTCCGTCGCACAGGTCGGAGGACTCTTTTAAGCAGTATTTCAGTGAGATGCCCTGGCTAGCCGTCCCGTATGCTGATGAAGCCAGAAGATCGCGCCTCAACCGGCTCTATGGCATACAAGGTAGGAAACCCTCCGAGCCCGCGTGCTCCCCTCGGGTTTCCTCTTGTTTAAATAAAGCCAGGCACCGGCAGAGCTGCTACATTTCTCTCCTCTGCAGATTTATCTTCCTTCCCCCTGCCAGCCTGTTAGCCGCAACCA